ACTCTTCGGGCACTTCAGGTACGGGTCGATCGCGTGGTCGGGCCAGAGGTCGGGCACAGCCGGCGACCACTCCTCAGGAGGTGGCGGAGACCGAGCAGACAATGCAAGCCATGCGTATATCACCCACGCCTGGGGGCAATGGCAACGGATCCAACGGGTCCACCAGTAATGGCAACGGGAACGGTAATGGGAACGGTATATATTGACGCGTATAAGCGGTGGTAAACCTATTGATAAGTTGTGTGCATTCATTGATGTCTTCGTGTTGTAGGCAATGGCAACGGAGACTCCGCCGCCGTCAGAGGTATCATGAGTTGGCTGTCCGATAGGCTGTCCATTGATCTAACGGTATGTTATCTATCGGTGCGCTCGTATAGGAAGGGGTGGCTTCCGGGCCCGCAATGACGACTTGGACACCCGTCCCAAGGATATCGATCGCTTATACGGTAAGGCTATCGGCGGTGGTGACCACCAATAGGTCGGTGTAGACACTAATGACACGCCATTCCCTCCCCAAACACCCACTCATCGCAGGAAACATTGGCGAAGAAGTGAGTCTTCTCTGCAATTATTTCCGGCTGAAGACGCCAACAGCGGTGTTGGTGAACAGCTTTCACGTGAAGTTCACGCCCGACATCGAGTCCACGCAATTGCGCCGGAAGATGATCTTCGGGGTCACGAACCCCTTCGGCGAGAGTCCCTTCGTCTTCGACGGCGTCTCCAATCTGAAGACATTGTGTCCCAATCGCGAGGAACGCAACTATACGGTGAATAACCCCGCGGTTCCGGATCAGATGATTAACATCAACATCCGGTTCACGGAGGAGATCCCGTGGGGCGCGCCGGAGATGATGCGGATGTTCAACACGCAGATGAGGTCCTTCTTGCGGTACATCGACTACGTATTGATGGGTCGGAACTACTTCGACGTGAAGTCCGCGCAAACCCTCGACGAGTTTAAGATAAAGTTGTTGCCGGGAGTGGTGACCGCCATCGCCAACCACGACGGCGGCCTCCTAATGGTCGTGGACTCGTCGACGAAGTTCGTGAGGGCCGAGACCGTGATGGAGGTGATGATGGGATGCCGGCGCGCGAACCCCATCACATGGCTCGAGGACGCGAAGCGCCAGATATGCGGATCCATTGTGTTGACCACATATAACAACAGGACCTACAAAGTGGACGACGTGGTCACTGGGGCCACGAATACCCCGCAGTCGCGCAGATTCCTCAAGAATGGCGTTGAGATGAATCTCGTGGACTACTATAAGCAACAGTACAACATCACAATAAGTCAGGCCAATGGGCCGCTCATTGAGTGTCTGCCGTCGCAGAGGGACCGGAGGGCCGGCAGGGATCAGAAGATTTTGTTGGTCCCGGAGTTGTGTCAGTTGACGGGTCTGACGGACTCCATGCGCCAGAACTTCCAGCTTATGCGCCGCATTGGGGACGTGTCGCGGCTGAAGCCGGCGGACAGGGCTCGCAATCTGAAGCAATTCATCCAAAAGGTGACGTCCAATGAGAAGGTGATTGAGGAGCAGCAGCGCTGGCAACTGGAGTTCGACAAGAATCTGGTGCGCGTGAAGGGCCGGGTGTTGCCGTGCGAGCGCATCATTATGCAGGGCGACACTCCCGACACCGGCGCTCAATTCGAGCAAAAGTCTGGTGACTTCGGGCGCCAGATCCGCTCCAAGAGGCTCTTCAAAGGCCTGTCGGTCAATAAGTGGCACGTCATCTACACCAAGAGGGATGAGGGCCTACTCCAAGAGTTTCTGAACGGCTTGAAGAAGGTGTCGACGCCCTTAGGGGTGAATCTATTGCGTCCGTCGCAGGAGTGTCTGCCCGACGACCGGATCGGTACATTCGTGAGGGCGTGCCAGCAGACGGTGGCGCCCATGGAACTGGTGGTCTGCATAGTGCCGAACAATAATAAGGAGAGGTATGACGCCATCAAGAAGATCCACTACTGCGAGAACCCGATGTCCTCTCAGGTGGTGGTCGGCAAGACGTTGACCAAAAAGCAGGGTTTGCTGTCCGTGTGCACCAAAGTGGTCATCCAAATGGCCACTAAGTTGGGCGCCGAGCCCTGGGTTCTCAAGATTCCGGTCAGTTGTGGTGGGGTTTGGGTTTATTTTGTGGATTTTTGTTTGAATTGGTGTTTGTTTTCTCGTTTCGTTTCGCAGCCGAAGAGCATAATGATTGTCGGATACGACACATACCACGACTCGTCCCAAAAGGGCCGCTCCGTCGGTGCCTTCGTGTGCAGTATGAATGAGCACATGAGCTCGTGGTACTCGAGGGTCGCCTACCATGACACCAGCGAGGAGATGTCGGCCAACTTTGCCATCAATATTCAGGGTATATTTGCCATTGAATTGGTGTTTAAATGACTAGTTTTTTAATTGTATTTTTCAATTGATTTGTGTGTTTTAGAGGGTATTAAGCGCTACTTTGAGGTGAACCGTCAATTCCCGAAGCGAGTGCTGATCTACAGGGACGGCGTGGGCGACGGTATGATTCAACACGTGTTTGAGTACGAGCTGAAGGCCGTGCAGTCGGGCCTTAAGAAGATGTACCCGGAGGGCGAGATACCACAACTCGCGTTCGTTATCGTCACCAAACGAGTGAACGCCCGCTTCTTCACCCAAGAGGGCAACACTCCGCCCGACAATCCCATTCCCGGCACTATAGTGGACACTACGGTGACGCGCGCCTGTCGTTACGACTTCTATCTGG